TTTGAAGCAACTGGAAAGAAACACATGGTGTGCAAATTGAATTAGAGCTTTATGGGTTGAAGCAGGTACCAAGGCAGTGGTACAAAAAGTTTGACTCATTCATGAAAAGTTAAACTTACATGAAGACCTATTCTGATCCATGTGTATGCTTCAAAAGATTTTCTGACAACGACTTTATTATTTTATTGTTGTATGTGGATGACATGTTAATTTCGGAAAAGACAAGGAGCTGATGTTCAAGGGAGATTTATTCAAGTCATTTGATATGAAAGACTTGATCCCAGCACAACAAATTCTGGGGATGAAGATAGTTCGAGAGCGAACAAGCAGAAAGTTGTGGCTGTCTCAGGCGAAGTACATTGAATGTGTACTGGAACACTTCAACATGAAGAATGCTAAGCCAGTTAGTACTCTTGCTAGTGATCTGAAGTTGAGCAAGAGGATGTGTCCTCCAACAAATGAAGAAAGAGAGAGCATGACTAGAGTTCCTTATTCATCAGCAGTCGGAAGCCTGATGTATGCAATAGTATGCATCAGACCTAATATTGCTCATGCAATCTGTGTTATCAACAGGTTTCTTGAAAATCCTGGAAAAGAACACTGGGAAGTAGTCAAGCGGATACTCAGGTACCTGAGAGTACTGTAGGAGACTGTGTTTTGGAGGATCTGATCCAATCTTGAAGGACTATACAAACGCTGATATGGTAAGTGATATTGATAATAGAAATCCACTACTGGATATTTGTTTACATTTTTAGGGGGAGCTATATCATGGCAATCGAAGTTGCATAAGTGTGTCGCACTCTCTACAACTGAAGCAGATTACATTGCCGCTACTGAAGCTAGCAAGGAGATGATATGGCTTAAACGATACCTTTAAGATCAAGACTTGCATCAGAAGGAGAATGTTATCTATTGTGACAGCCAAAGTGCAATAAAGTTGAGAAAGAACTTCATGTACCATGCAAGAACAAAGCATATCGATGTGAGATATCATTGGATCGTGAGCAAGTGGAGAATGAATCTTTGCAAGTCAAAAATATTTCACGCGAGTGAAAATGCCGCGGATATGCTAACTAAGGTGATACCAAGAGAAAAGTTCGAGCTATGTAAAGAACTTGTCGGCATGAGCTCTATATGAAAATCTAGAGATATCTCCTTCAGGTGCATGGGACTGGAGAGGGAGATTTTGTGGGTCCATCCAATGGTCCATGATTTAAAAAAGATGTTTTTCTTCCTTTGACAAAGACTTCTAATGTCTGCAGCTTTTATAGATTTGGCAGCCGATGTTTTTGTGACGACCTGACCGGTCGTTTTGCTTCCTAGAACCCCGTTCCCCTAAATAAGACTTCCCGTACATATTTTTACTATTTTATGACTTGTGGGGATAGTTAGTTCGGGATTTGGAAGAGTTCGGCTTGAAATCGGAATACCTGGTTCCTTAAGGTTGGTTTAAAAGGCCAAGTTTGACTTCGGTCAATATTTTGAGTAAACAACCTCGGAATTGGAATTCGACAATTCTAATAGGTTCGTATGATGATTTCGGACTTGGGCGTATGTTTGGATCGGGTTTTGGATGACCCGGGAGCGTTTCGGCGCCTAATAGTGAAAGTTGGTTCTTGAAGGTTTTAGAAGTTCTTTAAATTTGGCTTGGAGCGGGTTTTGGTGATATCGAGGTCCAAATAGAATTTCGAGACCGGCAGTAGTTTCATAATGTCATTTAAGACTTGCACGCAAAATTTGGTGTCATTCCGAGTAGTTTACGCACGTTTCGGCGCATTGGAAGTAAATCGAAGAACTTGGAGTTCTTAAGCTTGATTCAATTGGTTTTGTGGTGTGATTCTTAGTAATATTATTTTGGGCGTTCCGAGAGTTCGACCGAGTCCGTTTTATGATTTCAAACTTGTTGGTACGTTCGGGCGGGGCTCCGGGGGCCCCGAGTGTCGATCTGACGAACCTCGGACCAAGTTGGAAACTTGGAGCAAGAGCTGAAGCTCCCCAGTTCTATCATAATAACACTTACGCTTGGCTGGCCGCAGGTGCGAGCTGAGCCGCAGAAGCGAAGGAGGGAGGACAGCCTAGGCACCGCAGGTGCGGACGTTTTGGCGCACCTGCTTGACCGCAGGTGCGAGGTCAATGGTCACCGGTGCGGGCTTGTGCGCAGATGCTGTCCCTGGAGCCGCAGATGCGGAGCTTGGCCAGTCGGGGAAAATATGCACCTGCGATGGATTTTTCGCAGGTGCGAGACCGTAGGTGCGGCTGAGGCATCGCAGGTGCAATATCGCTGGAGGCAGTGAGGTTCATTTAATACGGGACTTAAGCCATTTTTACTCATTTTCTTCCACTCTTGGGCGATTTGAGAGCTTTTAAGGAGGGGATTTCGACCTAGCCTTGTGAGGTAAGTAATTTCCACTTAATGTGATTTTAATACATAGATTATGGGTAGATTTCAACATGAAAATTGGTAGAAATCACCGGGTTTAGATGAAAAACCTAGGGTTTAATAAAAATGAGATTTTACCACGAAAATGATTATGAAACTTAGTAAAAATTATATATTTATGTTCCTAAGATTATGGGTAACAACTTTCTTCGAAAATTTTCGAAATCCGGGTATGTGGGCCCGGGGGTGAATTTTGGGAATCTTGCAATTTGGGTTGGGTAATCACTTTAATAGTGGAGATATGGACTTTTGAGCATAGATTGATTGATTTACGTAATGTTTGACTAGTGTGGAGTCGTTTGGCATCTAATTTGGAGGTTTGAGCGCATTCTTGACTTGGGAAGTAGGCTTTGAGACGAGGTAAGTCTCTTTTCATACTTGTAAGAGAGAATTTACCCCATATGTGAACTTAATTAATATGTGTTGTTATTTGTGGAGGCTACGTACGCACGAAGTGACAAGAGTCCATACGTAGCTACTATTCCTGTTTATGTCCGGGCAGTTTTTGGTTTACACCATGCTTTATGGACACCGTTATTTGATTAGGTTTGTTAATTGTATCAAATGGAACTAGGTTGAGGATTTTTAAAGATTTAAAAGTTTCAAGTTGAATTGTGTTTATTTTTAAAAGAATCAAGAAAGTGTTATGATTTATTGATAAATTTATATTTGACCACGTTGCAAGTATATTCCGCGAGCGGGGTAATTTTTTTCACTACTCTCATGGGAGCGGGCCGTTCGCCTCGGCTGGTTAATAGATGCATCAATGGTTCGAGCCGTTCGACCCTCGGCAGTGCACATCTTACATTTATGCTGGATTAGGCCGAACGTCCTTGGCGGAATTTTGTGCGTGATAGTAGAATTGGAAGTCCCTTTTATAATTGGTATAAATTCATTGTTTGTGAGATCATGTTTTAAATGAAGGAAGTGATTCTTAAATATGGTGGAGAATTGTTAAGTCATTTCTTGTTCCGAGCTTTATTGCTATATATCATGCTTAATTAGAATTTTATAATATCATTTTGTTGGCCTTAGTAAGTGTCGGAGTTGACCCCTCGTCACTACTTCTTCGAGGTTAGACTAGATACTTACTGAGTACATATTATTTATGTACTCACACTACACTTCCTTACTTAATTGTACATGATCTGAGGCAGGTGCATCTGGTTACCAGTCTGGTGCGGAGATTTGATCCCCATCTCGAGACTTCACGGTGAGCTGCCTTCGGAGCCGTTCTGTAGCAGCTGAAGTCTTTCTTATGTTATATTTTTCTGTCTATTTTCTTTCAGACAGTAGGATAGTATTCTTTTGTATATTCTACTAGATTGCCCACATACTTGTGACACCAGGTCTTGGCACACACACTAGTAGACTTATGATTTTGGATTTGTTTACATGATTACGATTTGTAGTCATTCGCTTTTGTTTAATTATGTTACAATTGCAAATTTCTAAATCTTTTTAACAAATGAGGACATGTTATCCACTTAGTAATTTATTTAAACGGAAAATCACTAGTTTTGATCAGTGTTGGCTTGCCTAACAACGGTGTTGGGCGCCATCACGGCCTATAATGGAATTGGGTCGTGACAGTTTTGATTTGTTCATATTGAAGAGTTTGAAGTTTCTATCTTTCATTTGGCATCACTGATAACATCTGCAGGAGTATTGAATCTCTTATAAATAGAGAGCTCCTGAGTCATTTGTTAATAATACCAACAAAGAGAGAAAGAAAGAGTGAGGCATCAGATACAAGGTATAAGAAAATGGTATGTGAGGAAAATAGAGAGTGTGAAAGATATTATAGTGAGGTAGGAATATCAAAAGAGGGTAATTTCTTTTGAGTGTTGTAGTGCTTTTTGGAGTATTTTACTCGGGCCTACAAAGTGTAAAATTCCTTATTGCAGTGATATCAGTTGCTCCTCTCGAGCCGTGCATGGTTTTTCCCCTTATTCAGAAGTGTTTTTCACGTAAAAATCTCGGTGTCCTTGTTTCTCTTATTATTGCTGTTGGTTACTGTATTTTTGGTAATCCACATTTATACAGTTGTATACCGTGAATATTATTTCTGAGAGCGTTAATTTTTCCCAATAATAATATGGATCTTATCCATATTTGACCCGTTAAATATTCATTATCCAACCTGCTTTTTAATGAATAATATGAATGGATAGCTGCTTTTCTTTATCCATCTTGCCATCACTATATTGAGGTGAGATAAGCATTAGACTCAGATGAGGCCTACGGTTTTAAGCAACTGATTATCTGCAACTTTTGCCAAGCTGGGGTGGAGGAACGATTGGAAACAGAGGTCAAAAAATGCTAAATGTCAAGCTGGGAGGCAAAGCCATATACCTGTACGTATTTTTTACTAGGTTGTCCAATTGGGCATGTCCAAATCTCATCTAAACTTTTAGGATGTTAGGCAACATGTCCCCTCTTTTATGCATTTATTTTTTGTGGAAATTAATATACAACGTAGGAATGTCAATTCCCTGCCACCACAAGGCGGCTTTACAAAAAAAAAAGAAAAAAGAAGAAGCTCATAACTCAAACATTTATGAACTCCCCTGTTTATGTTAATGGGATTCAACAATCGATATAATTTACATATAAAAAAAAGGTTCACTTACGCACAGTGTAATTTTCAGGCAAAGGAGATCTAGCTAATCATCGTTGGACCTAGTGCTGCTCGGTGTTCAAGTAGCGTGATGCCATATAACGTTCCGTACCAAATTTGTAAGAGTTACACACAACCACACTGTCTCAAGAAACTTCTTATTGAAAGTACTACAAATTTAGTTATACATTGTTTTAAAACTCATTCATGAGCTTGAGATTTGAAAGGCTTATATGTCTTGAGATCTTGAGAAAGACCCTGTATGGATCCAGCTGCTGCAACAAGTGACACAATTAAGCAACCCCAGCTTAATATTTGCAGCCATATCCAAGTGAAAGTATACTTTGGAATTTTCCTCTGAGCAATGTGCATTTCTATAGGTAAGTAGACAGTTAATGGATAAAAAGAAGCTGCCCCAATTAAACCCAAAAAGTGATTGAAGAATGGAAATATCATGGCAATTACTGCTGTTACTATAACATATGCTGTCCTCCACAACAACCTGAAAAAGTTTACATAGTAAACATGACCAAAACATGGAATGTTTATCGCATGTTGAGAAGTGATGAATTTGTTGTCTGGCCATCTTTCACTACAACGAGCCTCCACAAACCCATATATTGGTTGGGAGAAAACCTGATAAGGACAATATAAATTTGAGCCATGAGTTTAACATTTATACACTGTGTGTAAAAGAACTTTTTTCACTTGTAGATGACGTAAAAGATAATAATAGGTAGTAAATATTTATAATACGTGCAGTTCTGTACGGTGAGTCGGTGATAGTGTACTATAGGTTTTTACATCATCGGGTAAAATTATACCTAAAAGATAATAATAATAATAATAATAATAATAATAATAATAATAATAATAATAATAATAATAATAATAATAATAATAATAATAATAAAAGTAACTGCTCGTGATAAGTGAAATTCCGTATAATGATAGTGTACTACTGATTTTTAGATCATCAGGTAAAATTACAACATCATGTAACTCTTAATATCAAGTTTAATATGATAAGAAAATAGTGAAAGAAATTGATATATAACTAATTAACTTGCCGTGCTAATGTAATATTCTCTATATTGTATATAACTTGAATTCTAAACGGGTTTTGTTTCTTGAACAATAAAACAGACAACTAGCTAAAACAACTTAAATTACAACAAGAGTATTAAATTAATTCTTTACAATTCTAGTATATATAGTTAAATCATTGATCCGGTCATATCAATATAGTGGACAATTGTTTAAGCAATAGGTCTTTGAAATTGTGTTACGTACAGATGATATATTATGTCGCAATAGACAAATTATATATCCACTAGCACCGAAATGAAATGCGTCTTAATAGAACGGAATGAATATATATGATTTATATAGTTGACTCTAACTTTTACCTGGTAAGCTCCAACCAGGTGAATAGCGATGCAAACGTTAGCGAAGTCAATTAGCCAAAAGGGTTCGTAGAAACCAAATCCAGTGAGGAAATTTCCAGGAGCATCATTTCCAAAGGCTGCATAGCCAATGGTACCACATAGTACATAGAATAAGGTTGTGGTAAAAACTCCAATAAGTGATGCTCTTTTCATAACCTTGTTCTCTGCAGGTGGCGATCTCAATGTATCCTGCAAATTGCCAAGTTGATAAAGCAATTATTTCTCACTTATATTGCACAATTATGTCCCAAAAAGGGCCCCAATTTCGTAAAACCTCCATGATAATTTAAAATTTTCAACCATATTTTCCCCTCTTCAAAGATCACCATTGTGGTGGCGGTTAGACCTCGACCCCTACCGGAGTATAAATATCACAGCGTAACATTAAACAAAATATGTCATGGTGCACAAAGTATCTTGCGTTAACCCGTTCATGGAGGATATAAGGAAGAGCCGCACCCCAAGGGGTGTGATGTAGATAACCTACCCTAATAGAAGTATTAATGACTGCTTCCATGGTTCGAACTCATAATTTATAGGTCACACGAAAATAATTTTACCATTGATTCAAGGCTTCCCCTTCCCATTCATTATATATGTAAAATCAATCAAATAACTTTCAATGCCAAAACAGTTATGTTCTGTTATATAATTGTCAAAGATCTTTTTTTTTTTGTTTTTTTTTGTTTTGGAAATTCATTATAATTAATACTTTTCTTATACTACCTATATGTGTACATATAATGTAGTCGAATTGGCGTTTAGTCATTTATCAAATCGCCAAAAGATTGGTTTTATGAAATAATGCCAAACGAGTTCATGTCGTACAAAAACTTTTTGTGGTTTATTATTGTTATCATGAAGTAGACAGACTGTGACTGCTGAAATCAATTTGACCCGTTGAATTTACATCCTATCATTAAAAGTTAAAGTCGTGGGCCATGGAGTAACTAAAATCCGACACCTGGTGATATATTCACAACATATGAAATGATATTTTGGTTGTTAAGAAGAAGAGTGAGACTTGGCTTTCACTTGTTTCCCAAAAGTTTTGAACTTTCTGTGATTCAAAATCGTGGTCCTAAAGAATAATATACATGAGGCGGAGCTCCAATATCAGTTACGGATTCAGATGAATTCTGTTTTTGTATTTGAAATTCATTAAATATGTATAAATATTTAATTTCGAGCTCATAAACTAAACAAGCTATAAATTTAATGATAAGTTCAGGAACTTATAACCAGAGACGGAGCTAGCCCTTCTTTTACATGTTTCGCCAAACTTAATAATTTTTATTCAAACCTTGTATTTATCTTATAAAATCCATTGAATATGTATAAATTATTAATTTGAAGTCAGTAACTTAAAAGATCTATAATCACAAACTCATAAGTTTTAAATCCTGACTATTGCTCTGCTTATAAACTTTAAGCTAGCGTTTGGACATAGATTTAAACTTGAAAAAAGTATTTTTGAAGTTGTGTTGAAAAATAAATTTTTGAAAGTTGAAGTTGTGTTTGGACATGCATTTTATTTGAAGAAAAGTTAAAGTTTTGTGAATGGAAGAAAAAGTTTCACCCAAAACTTGCCTTAAACCAGCTTTTGGGAATTTAGGAATTTTTAAATTTTTTTTCCCAAAACATGATCATATTTCATAAACAAATATTATTTTTCAAATTATTTTGAAAAAATGAAGCCATAATCTAAGTGCAAACGGGAGCTAAATTTTCGCTATGCCCCGTAATACACTCACCACATGTTGCATGGTAACGAGAAAACTATGGAGGAAAAAAGAAAAGAACAAACACGTTCTATATCCGGAGATAGACAAAAAGCATAGATATTCTCTGGTTCTTATCAACTTAGTGCAGCACATGGATCTACCCACCTCAAACAAGACTAATTTTTTTCCATTTGTTTAATTAATGCTACAAGCTAAGCCATATACTTAATAGGATATTTAGTAAATTCCTGCTATACCAGTTAAGGCTTTCTAAAAACAAATGCTGAAATGCTAAACTATGGCACTCCCCACACAGTGTGCTATTAACAGTTTCATTTTTTTTTTTTTCAAATTATCAACTATTTTTAACGGAGTTTAAGTTATATACATGGATAATGTAGAAATTTCTTATATTATCTACCAGTTTGAGTTACTATGTGGTAAAATGTTGTCATTTTTATAAAATTACAAATTAATGCTTATCAATATCATAAAGTTACTTATAAGTATTTTATAAATGACCGTAAATATTCCTTTAACCTTAGTGCATACAGAACGTAAACTCCTTTTTACACATATACTCATGTGTGATAAAATTGGCCGACATGTGGCTGAATTTGGTCTTAAAGATTATAGACAGACGATATAATACCACAGGCTACACTTCTTTATATAGACAAATTAATACCATACCACATGCCAACAGTGGCGGAGCCACATTGAAACAAGGGGGTGTCACACTTGACACCCCTTTACCGGAAAATTATACTATTTTATTAGATAAATATTTTTATTTTATATATATTTACTATACGTTGATCCTCTTAACTTTTCGATGTACTAATTATTTATATTTTGATATCTCTTGATGAAAATTCTAAATCCGCCACTACATGCCAACCTTCCTTATAATAACTCTAATAATTGCACCTAACATTTCTCTTGTGGTGAAAATAAGTTGCATGGTTTTACTGGGTTGAATAGAGGGTGTGACGTGTTCAACTGAATCACTTGCTTTTTGACCTATATATATATATATATATATATATATATATATATATATNTATATATATATATATATATTTTGGGAGAGATGCTCATGCAGAAAAAGATGTAATAACCCTACAAATTATGTATAGAATCCTAAAGATGATGATTCTTGCCTGTATTTCAATGAGAACGGTGGCAAAAGCATAAGCAAAGGCAATATCTCCAATGGATTGGAAGCTTCTCCAAAGTTTCTCTGAACCTGACACGTCCACCCCTACTTGCACCCCTGTTAGGCTTGTCTTTACATGGTGCCCTGCACCTACAAAGTTTTTTTAAAATAAATTGCAGACAATTACTACTGTTTTCACGGACCACAATAATACAAAATTAATCACTGACAAAAGAAAAGGGAAAAACAATGTATACTAATTATGTAAATACATTTTTATGCTGTCAGTGACTTTTAACGTGTGATATATAGTAGGTTAGTTATTATTTTACTACTTTCTCCGTTTTTAATTTAAATGACATACTTTTCTTATTAATTTTTTTCAAAAAAAAATGACACACTTCTATATTTGGAAACAATACAACTATAAACTTCTCATATTACTCACTTTACCCAAAGCTTTTGCCCCTTAAGCTTTTAGGACCATATGTTTTAAAAGTCTTTTTTTCTTTAACTTTATGCCAAGTCAAACTATATCGTCTACATTGAAACGGAGGGAGTAGATTACCAACTAATATTTATCAGTATATTTACTAATAATTACCTAATAAGTGACCTACTTATATAAATATATGTATTCATTTACACCGTTAGTGAAAATAAAAATGACCTAGTCTTGTAGATGTGAGAGTATAGTACCTGCAACTTTGGCAATGGAAAGTCCAAGACCAATAAGAGAGTAAGCAAAAGACATAACTGCAGCAAGAATGGATAGCCATGAAAGCTTATGGAAGTTCGGTATTTGGCTAAGAATTATTTCTATAACTGCAAAGATAATCATATATGGGTAATTTGATACTGAGCAGCTGGCTTCGTGCCCCTTTTTGTGGAAACAATTTGACCTTACTACTGCCCTGAATCACCCAAATATTCAAAACATGAAGAACGAATTAATTAGTACTATAGTAGTAATTAATTATTGCCATATTAAATCTTTAATATACTACTAAAGTCATTATAGCAAAATGATTTGAAATATTTTCTTTAAAAAAAAGACTTAATTAAACTTACACCATACTGATAGATGCAGTGATTGTGTATCCAATGGTAATTCCTACGAGGTTACCATACTGGGCTATTCCACACAGTTGCACCTTAATACCTCCTGTTTAAAACACCAAGAGAAGACAAAATTCCCATTATTAGTACCTCAAGTTTTTGCATAAATAATTCTGTCCATATCTCAATATATTATACTTTTGTTAAAAATGAAATTAAGAACTCTTTCCAATGAAAACAATTAGGAAGTCCCCCCCCCCCCCAAACCCCCAACCCCAACCCCACAAAAAAAAGAAAAGAACTTGGCAAGAAAACTATTAGCTACAATTTACCAAGTACATTACAGAGCCATGGTTCTTGGTTCTTTAATTAATAAATGTTACAAAATGCCTTCTAAGCTTTCGATTCAAATTTTATATACATACAGTATAAAATAAGCCACTGATGCTTGCATCAGGTAGACTGTCTACATCACATCCCTTAGGGTACGGCCCTTTTTCAAAACCTGCGTAAACGCAAGATGTCGGGCTGCACTTATACAGTATAAAATAAATAAAGATAAGAGTTAGATATGCATTTTTGAACTGAAATTCAACTCAGAACCCCCACAAATCATAGATTCTGGCTATGGTATATACACTGTCTGGCTTAAATTAAATAACTTATTACCTAAGTGAGAGCGGACAACTTCCATGTAACTGTAGTTTCTCTTGCCGGAGATAGGGCCAGGAGAGCGATAACAATCGGCGAGAAGTGTTGAAGTGAAGTAAGTGATGAAAGAGAAGATAAAGAGAATAACAGGACCAGCCACCCACCCTAACTGAGCCATTGCCCATGCTAGAGATAGCACCCCTGACCCTATCACAGCAGTTATTATATGTGCACTCGCTGTCAGCACCGTACCTTCAAAAATCAAACGATACAGAGAAGATTAGTATGATGACATTCGCTCAAGAATGACAAGTAGAAATCGAGAAATGGTTCAGCATTTTAGAATACCAGTTCTTTTCTCACGCCCATCATCGTCAATGTTTTTATGAACTTCTCCACTTTCTAGTACTCCTCCTTGTGCTGAATGTTCTACGTACATATTGGTGTTCATCTGAAATTCTGCCATATATGCGTTTTTGTAAGAGTGTAATACTTTGAAATAGAGAATGGTTAAGCAGTAAGGAAGATGCAAGTATAAATAAAAGAAGGGAAAAGGGGGGGGGGGGGGGGGGTGTAAACAAATGAGAACAACCTAAATTTGGGATATTTTTACATATTCCCTCCGTTTCAATTTATATGAACCTGTTTGACTGGCATNGACAGTAAGGAAGAGTAGACGAAGTAAGTAAAGTAAAGGAAGGGAAACGGGGGGGGGGGGGTGTAAACAAATGAGAACAACCTAAATTTGGGATATTTTTACATATTCCCTCCGTTTCAATTTATATGAACCTGTTTGACTGGCATGGAGTTTAAGAAAAAATAAAGACTTTTGGATTTTGTGATCCTAAACAAGTCAAAATGGGCCGGGTTCAGAGTAAAAACTTCTCATTAAGGGAAGAATTGGAAGTTTAAGCTAAATTATTTCCAAATTTAAAAAGTGGTCATTCTTTTTGGAACCGACCAAATAGGAAATAGGTTCACAGCCGAGCGAGTATGAAATTTGGATGGTATTATAATGGTTTTAGGTCAAGAGTGATGGCATTGATTTTTCAAACTCGAATAATCTTTATATAATAAAGCGGGTCTGGTGGAAAATTTTATTCCTTTACCCCTCAAAATCAAATTGGATTTAATTTTTGTGCACTGTCAATGTATATAACTTTTTTACCCGTCAAATTAGCGATTTTCAATAACGGTTAACTGTCTGCAAGTTATTAATCTTGTTTGGCAACATCAAAAAATCAACTAAATAATACTATAATGAGTTAAAATGTACTATGGTGTAATAATTGTTTACGTCGACAACTCGACATCGTGTATATACATAATAAGATAAATCAAAACCAAGATGACCCCCACAATTTGCTATTGCATTTGGTCCTAACCAATGAAAATGAAACGAGTGTGTTAGTCAGTCATTGAATAGCAATTTGCCAAACAATGAAATATGGAGAGAGCTAATTAGCTGATCACTCTCTTCAGTCGTTCTCATACTTTAGAGTCAGTTTGTTCTTGATGAAGATATGTTGTTTCCTTTTTCAATTTCTCATTTCCAAAAGATGAATTACGTAACCTTCTAATAATTTCCTAGTCGATAACACAACCTTTCATCTCACTGTTTGAATTCTAGTTGAACAAATATTCCTCTCCTGTACCAAATATTCTTCCCATTTCTTTTCTCTTAGTTAACCTAAAGGAATTGATATACCCCTTTCATTTGTTCCTTTTTGGTCTTAATGATGATATTAGACGATAATGAGGCATTGCAGTCTATTACATATGCACAACAACTTCAAGGGATACATGCATCCGTCTGTTCATTTACGTGTTTAAGTTCTATGCATAAAGACCGTGTAAAATTATTTACGAAAATCACTTTACTCGCAAGGTAATTGCAAATAAATCTATAGGATAAAAATTAATTGATAACACGATAAAAATAATAATTAGCATGTTATTAGATGTTAAAACACTAAATAGTGTCAAAAAACTTTGCACTTTTAGTTTATATAACTTATAGCCTGTTTGGCCAAGCTTCTTTTTGGCCAAAGCCAAAAGCACTTTTGGCCAAAAATTGAGGTGTTTGGCCAAGCTTTTGGAAGGAAAATAAGTGCTTTTGAGGAGAAGCAGAAGCAGTTTTGGAGAAGCAGAAAAAAGTAGCTTCTCTCCAAAAGCAATTTTTTGAGAAACACTTTTGAGAAAAATACACTAAGAAGCAGTTTTTTAAAGCTTGGCCAAACACTAATTGCTGCTCAGAAGTGCTTTTCAAACTAATTAGCCAAACACAAACTGCTTCTCACCAAAAGTACTTTTGAGAAAAGCACTTTTGAAAACAAGCACTTCTCAAAATAAGCTGATTTTTGCAGCTTGGCCAAACGGGCTATTAAATTTGTTTTATAAATAGATATATGTGATTCGTATAACTAACTATGTAAATATTTTACATCATTGGTGTCAGAGGCGGATGAAGGATTTTCAGTACATGGATAGACTACTAATTAAAAAAGGAGAAAAAAATATATTAAGTGGGAATTGATCCATATACCTCTTAATAAATAACTCAACCTTTAACCAAGTGCGTCATTCAACCTTCTTGGAACATAGGTGCCAACAGTTAATATTATACCAATTTGAAAAAATATGTACATAAAATATAATTTTGAAGAGAGACCGTGGGTTCACGTGCCCTATAATCTCCCCTATAAATATTTCCCTGATCCGTGTAATTTAATACCAAATGTAGGGCTGGGCATAATTTGGTAAATACCGAATTACCATACCGAAATTGAAAATTTTGGTATTTGGTATACGGTATTTTGGTATTTGGTTTAAGCTTTTAAAAAAATTGGTATTAGGTGTGGTATTTGGTATTTTAAGATAAAATACCGAAATACCGATACCGTACCGAAATATATATTATATTACACAAAACACATATTATCAATTATAACATAAATATAAAAAATCTAAAATTTTACTTTCGTTTATTCTCAAAGTTCATCAATTAACTCTAAACAAGTAACAAGATATTTCTAATGATCAAATATTCTTTTATGTACAATTTTCTCTATTTGGGTCGATAATTGCTAGTTTTGGACAAATTTTTTGTCAACTAACATTTTCTGTTTCGTAGTTCTGAGTACTTTAATTAAGAATATTAGAGTATGGCTCTATGCGATAGTTAGTATTCAAACCGAATAAACCGACGTTACCGAACCGAATAAACCGAAACCAAAAGGAGAAAAATCGAACCATACTGAATTTAATTAGGTACAGTATTGATATAGGATTTTAAGAAATCGAATACGGAAAATACCGAACCGAAATGTCTAAATACCATACCATACCGACCGACGAACACCCCTAACCAAATGTAGTAGACTATGCGTGTGTTTGGTATGAAGGAAAATATTTTCTAGAAAATATTTTTTAATTTTTCCATGTGTTGGTTGGCTTAAATGTTTTGGAAAATATTTTCCTCATTAACTCATTTTCCTCTAATTGGAGGAAAATATTTTTCCTATCAAGAGAAGGGAAAATATTTTCCAAAACTCTTTTTCAACCTTCCCCACCCTATTCCCCATCCCCATCTACCCACCCCACCCCCACCCACCCCCTCACTCCTACCCCCACCCCCTCCCTAAATGAAAATATTATTAATAGTACTTTCTTTTCATATTATAGATAGAATTTTTTTTCTTCATTTGAACAAATGAGTATTTTCTTTTCATGATATAAAAAAGAAATATTTTTATTTTAACAAAAAAGTACTTTCTTTTCATGATGTAGAAAAAGTATTTTATTCCATTTCAACAAAAAATAATATTATCTTTTCATGATGTAGAAAAAGTAATTTCTTTCATTTCAACAAAATGAGTATTTTTTTTTGGTAAATAGCATTTTCTATTCATTCCAAGAATTGACTTTACAAAGCAAGTAGATGCTGACCATCTACACTCCTATTTACATCAATCCTGTAGCCTAAGTAAAAGAGCACTTCGACTAAGTAACTAAAGTCAAAACAGTAGAGTCCTATACAGGGTCCTATACATCAGTAAGAGAGCCAGTCGCCTAAGGATAACAATTAAGCTTTTTGAGCTCTCCTTGCCAATGCTGTATTAATCGGCCTCTCGTGTGTATATGGATTGCTATTTCCTTGCAAATACTGCTGACTGTAGTTGTCCCACCCTGGAATCTGAGTTTGTTCCTTTCTCTCCATATGGTATATATCATCATACCAAAGACACAAGTAACAATTGCCCAATGTCCGTTCTTCTTTGTAGCATACCGACTTATCCATGCCACTTCACATTTCCAATATCGGATAGTTCTGTTATGCCCAAGCCATTTCAATAGTCTCGACCATAATTCTTTAGTCATAGTGCACTCAAAGAAGATATCATCAAAGACTTCATCCGCTTGCTTACAGAAGATACATTGTTAGGGAATCTGAACTCCAAACTTCAAGAGCCTATCAACTGTAGCTAGCCTCTTTTGCAATGCTAACCAAAGAATAAACTTGAATCTGGGATGTAGATTTGGTTGCAGAACGATACCTTTCCAAGGTACTTTAGGGAGTTGAGGGAACTGCAATCTATAGAGTTTCCTGATACTAAAGGATTCACCTTTCTGTAATTGGCCCAGTCTGCTCATAAGATCACCCTGAATTCCTTGAACTTCTCCAATAAGTTTCCTTGTTTCCAGTATTTTCCGGACCACCCTTCTGCATTCTTAGGTATTGGCATGTTCTCCACCATGTTATGTTTTATATAGAAGGTATGAATCCACCTAATCCATAAACAATCCTTCTTCTTTGCCACTGCCCACAAGTGTTTTGCTACTGTAGCTTTGTTCCAATATACCATGTTCATCACATTTAGGCCGCCTGCAACCTGTGGTAGGCAAACTTTCTCCCATGAGACCAATGCCTTTTTAGAGACATTTGAAGAACCTGTACACAGGAAAGATCTGCATATAGCTTCAACCGTCTTCATCACTTTTTTTGGTAGAAGAAAGATCTGGGCCCAGTATGATTGAATCCCAAACAAAACTGATTTGATCAGTTGTATACGCCCTGCATATGACAGTAGCCTTGCTGTCCAGCAATTAATTCTCTGTGTGATCTTCTCTACTAAAGGCCAACACTGAACAATTGAAAGCTTTTTAGATGCCAAAGGAACCCCCAAGTACTTAAATGGCAAGGTAATACCCCAACTCTTGCAGAATATCCTGCTTCTGTGCATTTGAAATACCAGCTAAATAGACAGAGCTCTTATCTGGATTAGCTAGAACACCAGAAGCCTCAGAGAACTTAAGGAAGGTCTGCTTTAGCAGCCTAATAAACTGAATATCTGCCTTACAAAACATAAGTAAATCATCTGCAAAACATATATGCACCACTCCAAGTTTTTTACGCCTGGGATGAAACCTGAACTCCTTATTTTTCATCAATTGTACAAACTCCCTCTGTAGATACTCCATAGCCAGAACAAAAAGATAGGGCGACATCGGGGC